CATTCTATCATCATGTTACTATACAAATAAGAATAAATTTGAAATTTGTTTTATAATATCATCTAATTTAAAAAATCTAATTTACAACTATAATAAAATATAATACATTGCATACTTTATAATGTAAATAAATTAATAAATAAAACATAAGACTTAGTTAGCATTGTAATTAGTATAATTATTAATTATAATATTATAATAAATGTGATTAAAAAAACAAGGGTATGACCCTCACAAATAAATAAATCTAATATATAATAATTAGTGTGAATAGAAATATAGAATTTAAAAATATAAATTTACAATTGTATTTTAATAAAATTAAAAAATAAATAAATAAATTCATACTTGCAATGTAGGGTAATTGATAAAGTAACTTAAAATTAAATTCTTAAGTGGTATAAGTTAGTGTTATTTTTCTCTCTTAAAATATCTCATAAACTATTTTTTTTTAACATTCAATAAACTAATATTAGTATTATTTTTTGCTTTTATTTATATCCTATGAACTAGTATTATTTTTTTAAAATTCTAATTAACTAATAATCTAATATTAATCATATAATAAAGTAATCCCATGAGATAATAGCCTAATAGTATTACTCTCTTTATTTTAATTTTTTAGTAGATAAATTTTAATTTTTTTGGGTGAAAGATAGGTGTGGTGGGCCCTACCACCCAATTATTATTTCTTATAAAAAAAAAAAATTTATCATGTAATTTAATGCCGAGCGCATATCCCTCTTATTGATGCTCAACCATCTTTACCTAAGTATTAATCTATATGCTCATTCAATGTGACAATTAGGCTATAAGAATTGTCCTACATCAAAGAGAGATGTGGGATGCAAAAGCCCTATAAAATGACTTGCAATAACATTGATGGCTACCAATTGTTGGGAAGAGGGATGACATGCAAGGTCCACGCAATTAATTTTTGCTGACGTCATGTGACATCAGCATGTACATTTTTATTTTTTTTGCTGCCGTCATGTGACATCCGCATGCACATTTTAATTTGTTCAAAGCATGGTTGTTTAAAATATTTTTATAATAATAAAATAGTAATAGACCAATGATACGTGACGTTAAGACCAATGAATCGTGATGTCGTGTGACATGAGCCTGGCCATTTTAATGGTTTTTTAATAATAAGTATGAAATTTAACGATTAAAAAATAGCATCGAAAATCTCCATGATGACTCTAAAATCAATTTCCAACATTAACTATGAAATTTGAAGATTAAAAAATGGTACAGGTCTTGCAAATTTGTGACCACTTAATTTTAAGACGAAATGGATGGTCTAGATAATGTATTATAATATAAAATATTTTTAAGGCTTGAGATCTTTTTTTTTTTTTAATGACCACAATGGTCATGGGTGAGATAATTTATTTGAAGGTTTTTCAAAGCCAAAGTGAAATTTTCAATGAGTTTTAAGATGAGATTTAGAATTGCTCATCAAAACATTTTCCTATGGGTATATATATGTGGAAAGTTTCTAGAGAAAATTACTTATATATCCGTTATACTTTACGTTATTACGGTTGCACTTAATAGTTTTCGTTATTACTCATCTGTCCATTTTTTATCTTTCATAACGTTTTTTTTTAAAAAAAACACTTTTGCCCTTTTTCGGATGTTCAACATCTGAAAACATGATTTAAAAAAAACGTTCACTTTTCAATTTTCGGATGTTGAACATCCGAAAATGTGGAATTTTCGGATGTTGAACATCCGAAAAGAGCGGGATAGTGAGTAAATTTCGTCTGTCCTATTTTCTGCGTTTTTTTTCATTCTTTGAGAGTGTGATTGATATTGTCTGCCTTATTGGTAAAGAATAGCAGTTAGCTTTTTTATTTTGATTTTCAACCATGTTCGTCTTTGGCAGGCGGCATTTTTTGGATTTTGAAGCAATTTCACATTGTGAAGGTATGTGAGTCGATTTTTTATTTAGATTGTCTTGCTTAGGGTTATACTCAAGCATACTAATTATTTGTTGTGATATTGGTATAGATTGAATTAATTTGTGTCTCTATTGTGATTGAATTAGATATTTATAATTTGGAGGTTTTGAGAACTTGGAATTTTGTGGTCTCTGTATAACTATAAATTATTTGAATTTGGGGGTTTATACTCTTAGATAGTCTTAAGCACAGATTTGTGTTATATTTATTGATATTTTTGTAAATTGTTGATTTTTGTAGTTGATAGATTGAGTAGCTTAAAAAATAAAATATGTATGTGAGTTATGATTCAAGTACATATTTACTTTGAATATTTTGTAAAGTATTTAATGAGTGAATTTATTTGAATTATGATTTATGATTTAAGTAACAATGACTATATTTATTTGAACATTTTAGATTTAATCTGTTGCTTGTATTATAAGTAGCATTGTTTTATGTTATTT